GTTCCAATACTACTTAAGATTAGCCCCATTCCCACATCTTTTGTCATTCTGGAAGTAGAATGCTTGAGGAAAGCACAACGGAAAGTGAGAGTTGCAATAGAACTTGAGCTTTTCTTCCTTTCTGAAAAACGCCACCAGGGTTTAATAATTTCAGTTATTAAAAGTGAATAGCTGCATCCTTGATGGAGAAATGGTTTAACTACAAGAAAATATATGTATAATTTCCAAGTATGAGGCCTTCTGCCAAATTCCTTTAAATGCAGCTCACTCTCAAACCACCACACTAGGAGGCTCTTGGCTAATTAAGTTAAAAAGAGTACTAACCACTTTTCTCAAATGCTGGGGGTTCTAATGTAAGATTCATCCCATCTTTTAAGAAGAAATTAAGCTATCGCTGACATTAATAACTAAACAATTCTCCCTTTTCCAAGAATTACCACATAAATATACGAAGGATACCCACTGCCTATATCTTTGATGCTTCTGAAGCACTGCAATCAATAATAATATGTTCCCATGAGGGATTTCCAACAGATATTCATATGAGAATTCTAAACTATGCGCTCAAGAATATTGGGATTACAGCTCTCAAAATTTCACAGAACTACATATATAGGGAAACCTCCCTTTTTAAAAGGAAAACTTTTTAAACTTTTTTTTTAATTTCTTGCAGACATTTCATTAATTTCTGTAAATATGATGTAGTAGGTTAAGGCAGGGGTTCCCAACGTCCAGTCTATGGACCGGTACCGGTTTGTGACATGCCAGCAATCGGACGGCACAAACAAGCAAAGCCCCATCTGCAGGATGCAAGCAGCACAAAAACCACGCCTCTCCCGGTTTGTGGAAAAACCTCTCGCCACGTAACCGGTCCCTTGTGCCCAAAATGTTGGGGACCTCTGAGTTAAGGCATCAGGCTAGAAACAAGGAAATTTTTAGTTCTAGTTCTATTTTAAACACAAAGCTAGATCAGTCACTGTGTCTGGAAAAAGGCAATGGCAAACCACTTTTGAGAAACCTTGCCAAGAAAACTGCAGGGAAGAGAACTTGACACAACTGAAAGGTAAAAAAGCAAGAATATAGTATTGTGTAGGCCAGAGGTCCCTGACCTTTTGGGCACCAGGGACCAAAGGTTTTTCCGCAGACCGGAGGGTGCGTGGTTTTGTGTGCTGCCTGCATCCCACAGATGGGGCTTTGCTTGTTTGTGCGGCCAAGTTGCTGGCATGCTGACCGGGGGTTGGGGACCCCTGGTGTAAGGTTTAATAAAATCCTATATGGCTCTGAATGAAGTTATTTCAGAACTATCTCCACCAACCAGAACTGACTAGAACCGACTTACAGAAGAAATTCCTAATAATCCCTTATTATTTCTGTGAAAAAGCAGGTTCAGAAAACATTTTTTCCATTGCAGGTTTATGAAATTAGGATTTAATTAGTTTGTTTTAAAGTTTATATTTAATGTGGATATTTTAGTAATTTTACATTTTTATATCAGCTGTGAACATTTTAATTGTTGTAAGTTGCCACGAGGGAGGGAGGGAGGGAGGGAGGGAGGGAGGGAAGGAAGGAAGGAAGGAAGGAAGGAAGGAAGGAAGGAAGGAAGGAAGGAAGGAAGGAAGGAAGGAAGGAAGGAAGGAAGATTATGGCAGACTCAACACTTCCAATATGTCTCAGGATAAAGTTGAAATTAACTAAATATCTAAATATTTAGATGACTGGAAGTAACCTACATAAGTCCAAATATCGTAACTGGCTGCAAACTCTATTAAAATGTATTTCCCTGCTGTTATTCTTCCTTGTAGATGTAGAATGAATAGTAAAACAGAATCTCCAATTCAGAAAGTACACTAAACAAACTTATCTTGAATTGTTTACCAATCACATAAGCAACAAAGTAACAAAAGAACTGAATTGGCTTCATGTTTCAGCTGTATATATCAGCACATAATATGATAATAAACTAAGATTCTACACATTTATGGTTTGTTATGGTTTATAACATTGTGAGAACATAATTTTATATATTTATTATGTAGGCTGAAATACACAAGCTATTCTTTAATCTGAAATTCTTTTAATTCTGCCCACTTCAAACAGTGAGCAAAATGGAAAGAAATGGTTGGTCCTTGAAGCCTAAGGGAAATGGAAGAATATGCATTCTATATTATCTGTGGAACAGACTCAAAATAGATGATAAGAGCAAGCCAGCTGGGAACTAAATTTAAAATATAAATATGCTATTTTCTTGATCAACATATAATTCTTCCCTGTATTATATGTTAGTTGACCTTCTAACTACTAACTTAATAAACTGGAAAGCTAATTAATACATTATTATAGTTTGTATAATACCTGATATATAGCATTCTTTTGAACCTACTGCATATTTACTGATGTAAAATAATATTTCAGTTGCATATATTTGATTCATGTTATTTATCTTAATTCAATATTCACTGGACCAACCTCAATAATTCTAATACTATAGTCACATATACATAATGCATGCTCTGTCAAAAACATAAATACATAAACACACACACACATACTTAACAATGTATCACAAGGTAGAAAGCAATTTATAAAGAAAATATTAATTCATCTCACACACCATTATAAGTTAACTATTTTTTTCTCCATTACAAATATAATTTCATATTCTGAATTCTAAGGAGGCACTGTTTGTTCTTCAATGGTTCTCCACTTTCTTCCAAGGCCAATTCCATTTGGTGTTCTGCTATTTAACACTTACATGAAATTTCTGGGTGATATCACCCATCAATACAGGATTATGTATTATCAATAGGCTAATGCTGCTCAATTTTACATCTCTCCCCTGGCTTTTCCAGTGGTTGGACTTCAGGTCAACCCTGACAAGTCTGAACGGTTGTGGAGTTTTGCCCCCTCCCTTCCCCAGATCTAGTGATTTTTCATTGTTCATCATAAATCAGGTTACAGTCCCTGGTAAGTTAGAGAGTAGCCTGGAGCAGGGCTTTTCAACCAGTGGTACAGGTACCACCTGTGGTACATTGGCACCTGGCAGGTGGTACGCGACCATCCTAGAAAAGTGGTAGCAGGGGAGGGGAATGAGCTGAACCGGTTGCAGCAGCGCACAAGCCTGAGCGAGAGACGGCTGGAGCTGCAGGGCTGTCAGGGCTCAGCGGAAGCGCCAGGATCAGTGCCACTTTCCAGCTGATAGGTGCTTCTTCGGGGCTGTCAGGACTCAGTGGAAGCGCCAGGATCAGCGCCAGGCTCCAGCTGGAGCTCGGCGCTGATCCTGGCGCTTCTGCTGAGCCCTGAAGAAGCACCAATCAGCTGGAAAGCAGCACTGATCCTGGTACTTCTGCTGAGCCCAGAAGAAGCGCTGATCAGCTGAAATGTTGCAGCATCTCCAGGGTCTTGTGATTTACATTCAGATGCTTGGCAACTGATTCATATTTATGACGGTCACAGTGTCCCAGGGTCATGTGAAGTGACCAAAACCTGCTGCAAGCACCCAGCAGACGGGGGGAATAAAAACCAAACACCCCACACCCCCGCTGCCAATCCTCAACAGAAATGCTCACAACAATGAAAACCTCGGACAGGAGGAAGAGCGCCGCCGGGCGGCAGGCAGGAGTCTTGCTCGGCTGTGGCTTGGAGGGCACTTTTTTCAGTGCCATTGTAATTTCGAACAGTCACTAAGCGAACTGTTGTAAATCGAGGACTACCTGTACTTCATCACTTTTTTTCCTTTTTTTTTTTTTTGGTCATCAAGTTTTTGACACCTTGCTAGGCGACTGGTGGTACTCGGATATTGCCATATCCTAAAAGTGGTACAATGGGTGGAAAGGTTGAAAAGCCCTGGCCTGGAGGTTTTCTTGGATTCGTGACTCCTTCTCATGGACAGATGGCAGCTGTGAACAGGCCAGCTTTTGCACAAATGCACTTGTCCATCTGTTTCACCCACTGTTGGACTGGAAGGCACTACTCACTGTGACCCTCATTTATCACCTTCTGGATGCTGTATTGCACATACTTTACATAAGGCTTGAGCATTCAAAATCACCCCTGGGGGTGTGAGACAATATTCCAGGGGGTGCGAAAACTTGGATTTTCAAAATTATAGTGTACTGTATATCCATAACTTGTTGCCATTATTTCAAACTTTTGTAAGGGGTGCGAGAATATATCAGAAGCATTCTAGGGGTGCAAGGTATGGAAAAGGTTGGGAACCACTGTTCTATATTTTCTCATTCAAACAATTTGGGTATGTAAACTAAAAAACGCAAATTCTATTATTTTTTTCTGAACTTAGTTCTCAAGGAAGTTCCAGAACACTATGTATCTTGAAGGAATCTCCTAGGCATGACTTCTCTGTAAGTGCCCCTTCTCTGTAAAATAACATCCCCTTGGAAATTCATCGCCAGCTGTAAAGACTGTAAAATTTTCCAATATTTTTGGCAAAAAAAATCTAATTATTTTCCCTGTCAGTAAGTCCATTCTGGGCAAAACCACTTATTGTTCATAAATTCTTGCATTGAATGCTCTTAGGAAATCACTTGTAAATTGATATTTCACATATATTATTGATAATTGATAATGAAGCTTTAAATGAACACTTGTAGAATGAAAATCAAGAATCATGAAACTCTATAACTCTCAAATATTAGTGAACTATTGATGAAAAGAAAAGAAAAAATGCTGAAGAAAAATTATGAATTTACAGCTATAAAATGAGAATTGAAAAACTATTCCAACAGATAAGATTTTCCTAAACATTTGGAACCATAACAGTGTTTTTGTTTCAAACATTTATTATTGCAGTGTGTAATAAACTCTTACAATGCCTTACTGGGACATACCTTTTTAAAGTTCCTTGATTTTAGCAACCTTTTAGCAAACACTACTCAGCTGATACAATGCAAAACACCTTTGTTATTTATAGTATCACTTTAGAAATTGTGTAAATAAGCTCATACTCCTGGTGTGATCCCAGTACAAAAAAAGGAAGCACTTACTGCCATTGTCATCAGAATCTTCACTGCTGCTGGGAAGTCGACCACGTTTCATGATCTTCCTGAGTAACAGCAGGCAGCCTGTGAAGCAATGCAACAAAAGTTAACCCACAGCAACAGTCATCAGGTTTTGATAAAGAGCATTCCAAGACTAACTAATCAGAAATGAAAACAAAATTAAGCAGCACAACTATAAGCAATAAATATAAATAAAAAACTCTATTTGCATGAATTATCCAGGATGCCCACCCACAAACACAGAAATTTCAGGATAAATCACAAAAACCTCAAGCCTTCAGGCCGATGTATATATTTTTAATGTCTTTAATAGTAGCCAAGTCAAAGGAATTGCAACAGAGCCTCCACAACCTTGCCTATATATGGCATCTAGATATAATGGGTAACATGATTCTTAAAACCTTTTATAGGTCTGAGACTTTAAGAACACAAGATTGATAATAAAAAGAAAACTCCATACAGGTAATCCTTGACCTGAATTGATTTCAGAATTAGTTGTAAATTGTTCCAATACTAAGTCAAGGCATCATGTGACTGGACCCATTTTCTTGTAGCAGTTATTAAGCCAACACCAAGTTATTAAGCAAATCCATTTTACCCAATAGGCTTTTTGTTTTGCTAAAAACTGAAAGTAAACCCTGGAAATCAGCAAAAAAAATGTTGCACATCAGTCACATGACTGCAGGCTTTAAACAGTCATAAAGATGGTCTGGTTGCTTAGAACCCAAAAAGCGATAATGTTGTAACTTTAAATGTTCATTCTCTAATTAAACTACTGGCCTGTGGGCCGAATGCATCATAGCGAAACCGCACCCACCCCATTACTGGCAATGGCAAAAAAGTCACGATGTCGCAACACGTCACGTGACATTGCGAGTTTGACACCCCTGCTCTAGTGTATCTCCTTAGCCTGGTAGCCACTGTCGTGACAATTTGTTTTAACGTCTCAATGGCTACAGATGGAGTTAGGCTCTTATATTTTTTCAGTAGCTGAGACTTATCCCTAATCTTCACACCTTTCGGTAATTGCATCAGCTGGCTAACCTTTCTCTGAGTTGCCTTGTTTGTGTGTGTGTGTGTGTGTGTGTGTGTGTGTGTGAACGTACTGCTGTTCCTCTTGATTCTGTAGCCAAGCATCTCCAGGATTACAGCAGCTGTAGTGTATATCAGTTCACTGGTCTGAGTTATCATGATAATAGGGATTGTTGTGAGGGTTGTGTTGACATCTTCTAGCATATTATCTGATGGTATTTCTCTGCTGAGCCTTGGTAATCGGTCTCAAGGGTTGATTGTAGCTAGTTTACTCATGACCTTATACCTCATCTCAGCAGCTGTGCTTTGGAATGGAGAGGGTGGTGGTGACATTCCAGCTTCAGATATTGGCTGCACATCCAGTTGTTCTTCCGGGTATTTTTGATTATGAGATATGTTTAGTTGATCTACCTCTTCCAACAGAGCAAATGCTATATATATATATATAGATTTCATGACTTAATTAGATACTTTATGCTATTTTAATAGTTTTTCTGGAGACGTCTACTAGCCCATAGACTGCTAAGTTTAAAAATTACGTTGCTACATAACTTGACCTGCAGATCTTTATATACTTAAAAAGGATTTACTTATGAAGAGTCACCTAAGCTGTATGACTATGGTAGTCTCTCTACATGTGCTATACAGTTATGACTTTCTGAAATAATTTCTTCAATTGAGTTGTGCAGCCATGATGACCAATATTAAGTTTTCAGTTAATTATATAACTTTCTTTCAAATCTGGGAATTCTAGCTACAATCACAAAGTGATACTTTGAACAGTATGCTGAGCACCATTAACTGCTTCTGTGGAATAAACAAAATGATGCTTGTATTTTTCTTAATTTAAAAATCAAAATAATCATGGCCTAAGAGTAAGTTAATAAGATATTTTAGCCCAAGATAGAATCAAGAAGGATTCTGCAAAGTTGATGTAATATTTTGGTGCACCAATAAATAATGTACCTAAGAATATGCCAAAAAAGGAGACTATTTGAAGCTCAGGGTTAAAACACCGATGCATATGTGAGTTTCAGTTTATTACTGAAAACCATGTATGGGTCAAGACAGAAAAATAATTCAAAATAATTCAAATTCCTGAACTCTTTAATAAGATTTCAGTTATCTTACTCTTCAACATGACTCTCACAATTGCTAAATAAAATAGTAGTGGGGGGATATCAAGTTCTAAAATATAAGAAATGTAGAGGAGTATTCATTTCATTCAATAATCACAATAAAAGTAGCCTTTAAATGTGGGGGGGCACTGTCATTTTGAAACAATAAACTTGAAAAAATACCATCATATTGAGTTGTTAACCTTTATAGATTTATGATTATTTTGTCTCTTTATTACAAGAGCAGAAAGCAAAATCAAAAAATAGTGCAGAAAGTATGTCTGCATTTTCATATTGAATCTTGGTATCTTTATGATAGAATCTAAGGCAGCATGCATGGGAAAGCTCTCAATTTGAGATTACTTACTGTCATCCAGAATACAGCAATAGAATAGATGGCTTAATGTAGAATGGCATTCTATGTAATTACAAAATTTTTGCTGAAGTCCAGAACTGATTTGGCTTAAGGGGACTCAACTGTGTCTTGAAACTTATGAATTCCCCCAGAAGAACAAGTGTTGTTTCTACAACATGAAAATCTGTCTCATCTCATGTATCTGCGGGACCACCTTTCCCTAAGGACATCTACCTGTTCTATTAGGTTAGTTAGGTCCTAACTATTAGGTCCTAGTCCCTTCCCTTAAACACTGCCATCTAATAGGAACTAGGATATGTGCCTTTTCCATGGCAGCTCCTGCCCTATGAAATACTCTTTCCCCTAGGACAGGGGTAGGCAACCTCGGCTCTTTTATGACTCATGGACTTCAACTCACAGAATTCCTGAGTCAGCTATGCTGACTCAGGAATTCTGTGAGTTGAAGTCCATGAGTCATAAAAGAGCCGAGGTTGCCTACCCCTGCCCTAGGTTATACACGTTTAAAATAAATAAATAAATAAATGTCTCATGTTATATTTCCCAAAGTTCTCAATTTCTTTCTTTATATAAGTCTTTCTCCTTGACCATTTTGATGGATTCATTCCATAGTTATCTTGAATTGGTTTCCATTATATAACAATCTTATAATCTGATAAAAGAGGGAAATTGATATCAGTAGCATGCTATAGACCTTGATTTCTATATCATAGTTGCTCTTCCTTCTCCAAAACAGGTCAATTTAAGCATTCAAATTTATGATCACATACACTATTCTTTAATCTAAGAATATGATAACTGAGAAACCAGGGCCATGTATGCTCACACAATTCTTAGATGTTGCTTGAAAATTTCTAAAATACTTTGTAATGGAAAGTGGAAGGGATTGACACATGGGAAATAATAATTTTTATACTGCAATGAATTATAAATATAAAATTATATTAAACCCATTCTGTATTTTGTAATGAGGCTCTTAGAATGACATTCAGAGACCAAGTATGGCACTTGCCCCTGAAGTTATATACCTCTGCCTCAGATTGTAATAACATCACTAAATTAAAAAAAACTGCAAATGGTTGATTATCAACTTCCCAATACAAAAGAATACTGCAGAAAATATTTACCTTAGCCATTTAGAAATAATCCATTAAAACGAAGAAGTCTAAATGTATTTGCTACTGGAAAAGACAACACCATTTTTTCCCTCCCATTTTCCATCCTGTGAATAAGTTCCAGTGAGAGTTCAGAAAGCATTGGAGTTGCCCAAACCAAATTAATAGCATTATTCTTTGCTACTGAATTAACAGTGTATTCACCGACAGTAAGGCTTAGTTCTAACTGTTCATTAGGTAATATAAAACTAACACACAAAATAAATCAAATATATTTTTATTTCCCAAGGATATTAATACACGAGAGTGCCAGTATATATCATCAAGAGTGTGATAGATTGATCAACAGCATATGGGGAAAATGTAGCTTGAAAATGACTACAATTATTTTTTAATGGATGAAGAGAAACATTATATATGGACATTAAATGTGTATCCCCAGGTCAAAGCTTTTATAACTTGTATTTCCTCCTACAGTAATTTTAATGACTTCCATAAACCTCTGGGTAAAAAGGATTTATAATTCTAGTTCTGACAAATCATTAACTAGAAGCAGTGTTAAAACAAACTCTAAAATAAACTGCATAAAACCACTACAGGAATAGCACAAGAATGCAAGAAGAGTCTTCTCCTGCAAAGCATACTAATATTGAAGTAATATGAGCTGAGCCAAGTACTCAATTTCAAAAATTTTAATAGTCAGAACTGCACTTCCTGGTTGGGACTTAACATAAACAAAATAACTTAAGAACACAAAATAATAAATCTCCACATAAGTTCTCAATGGATTTCAGGAAATATTTTACATAACCTTTTGGCACTACAAAATATTAATATGTCAAAGAAATGTTTTTCTGTCTATTGATTACAGTGATCACAAAATAATGTACTGATTTCTTTGATTTAACCAACTACCAGTGATTTTGGCAGACGTAAACTGGATTATATGTATCTTTCTAGATCAGGGGTCTTCAAACTTGGCCCTTTTATGACTTGTGGACTTCAACTCCCAGAATTCCTCAGCCAGGCATGCTGGCTGAGAAATTCTGGGAGTTGGAAGTCCACAAGTCATAGAAGGACCAAGTTTGGAGACCCCTGGTCTAAATTAATCTAGTTCTTCCCCATCAGATGATGATTAATGGTGTGAATACATTTCAACAATAAAATCCCATGCCACAATCACATGTACTAACAGCATTGGTTTTGCTATACAATACCAAATGAAAGAAGCAGGAAGAAACTCGTTTGTGATTTTAGTTTAAGCATCTATGTTAATATCAGTAGAACTAGACTGAAAATTGCAGATTATAGAAGTCTGTTTAGAAAATCTACATCACTTGTTACATAGCATATCTTAAGAGCAGGCATATCAAACTGCGGGCCCACTGGCCAGATGCGTCACACCGAAACCGCGCCCACCCCATTGCCAGCAATGGGGGAAAAGTCGCGATATGTCATGCGACATCACGAGTTTGACATGCCTGTCTTAGAGTGAAAGTTTCTCACAAGTGCATATTTTAGAACAAGAGTTCCAAATCCCTGGTGCTGGTCCACCACTCATTGGGAACTGAGCCGCACAAGCAATGGGCGAGCACGCAAAGCTTTATTTGCGCAAATGGCGCATGCACGAAACCATCCCCTTACCTCCACGACCACAACTGGTCTGCAGAGCCAGAAAGGTTGGGGACCACTCTTTTAGAATACAGAACTACTAATAGAGAACAGACATACAAGTCTGGATAATCAGCATAAGAAGGTGCAAATACAGACTTTTTCCAGATCAGCTGAGCCAAACTGTAGCAATGATAATTTAACTTTACCAAGTCTGAGTCCAAGTTGTGCTTATGGCATCCATTAAGAGCAATGGAAAGCTGTATTTATGATTATGTATCGCAATGGTGTACAGTTAGTCCTTGACTTATGACATTTGAGGCCAAAATTTGTGTTGATAAGTGAGACATTTGTTAAGTGAGTTTTACCCCATTTTATGATCTTCTTTGCCACAGTTAAGTGAATCACTGCAGTTAAGTTAATAACACGGTTAAGTGAATCTAGCTTCCTCATTGACTTTCTCTGTCAGAGGTCACAAAAGGTGATTACATGGGCTCAGGTCACTGCAACTGTCATAAATATAAATCAGTTACCATGCAGCTGAATTTTGATTACATGACTATGAGGACATTGCAACAGTCATAAGTATGAAATATAGTCATAAGTCACTCTTTTCAGTGTCATCGTAACTTCAAATGGCCACTAAACGAACTGCTATAAGTCAAGGCCTACCTGTACTTAGTATCCTATAAATAAATCCAAAAGTTTAAAAGCCAAGCTGCTATTCTGTTATTTCGTTAATGTCAATATTTCAAGACATACATTCTGAAGTTACAAAATCAATATCACAATCTAATTTGTAATATCTCTATGAAATAATTAGAAGTTGCACATGCACTATTTTAAAAGCAAAAAGAATTTAACTTTACCTATATGAGTTACCAGTGTCATCCAAGATAAGTAAAAATTGAATATCCACCTAAAGTGACTTTTTTGTACTCTGTTGTAAATATAACTTAAATCATTTCTTTTTGCAAAATTAAGTACCCACAAGAATTAATTTGTGAACACACTCCACTGCTTTTGAGCTTCTTGGGAGTGGGACAAAGATTCCAAGAAATCCCACAAATATATTTGTCTAAAAAGTATGGATTCTCTGTTTGGCATTGATTTAACAGGAGGGTTCTTAATTGAGAGATGAAAGGAATGACTTTTCAAACTGGATCTTAGCTTGCCAGTGACATTTCTACATGCAGAATCTTAGAAGACCCGTCACAGAATTCATTGTAACACTCTCATCTTCAGCATCCGAATCAGGAGGCTACAGCAAATAAAAAGCTACACCAGTCCTGTAACCAGCTCACCGATTTTTCCCAATTCCACAGGCTCTTGAACGACCTTTTCAATCTCATCACTCGCTGAACGCAACAACACCCTACCCACCAACGCCAAGAGTAAGGTGAATAGTGCAGGAAGAACAAGCCGTCTTTCCAGAGAAAGGTCTGCGAACCGAGTTTGGGGGCGGAAGGCGGCTGACTAGCCAAACGCCAGCAATATCACCGTTACAAGTCTCTGCGTTTGAAACTGATCAAGCCCCCGCGGCGCATCCTCCAGTCTCTCTCCTTCCGCTCCGCCCTCTTCCCCAGCTGCACCAATCCGCACAGCCCCGGTTGCAAATCAAACTTGGTGCTCCCGGCGGAGCTTCGCTTCCCAAATCCACCGCTGCTCGCGCAAAGCTGTAGCGCAGCCCTCCCTCCTCCTTGATCTCCATGTTGTAACGTCTGGGGAAAGAGGGAGGGGACTGGAGGGGAGGGTTCGTGGACTGAGGGGCAGGAGCAGCGAATATCTCCGAGGCCCTGCTTCTGTTCCCACCCGCCGTTCGCCCGTCTCTCTCCTCCCACTCGACAGTTCTGGAAACTGTATCACCCCGTCAAGAGGAAATCATCCAGCAAGCAGTTGCAAACGAATCAACGCCCTCTAGTCCCCGCTCGCTAGAGAGAAGCGATGGGGGGGGGGGGAGAAGCACGTTAAGATACAAACCCCATAATAAAGGGTGGTTAAAAGGGACTAGGAACGCAATTGCTTCTCCGGGACCTTGCAAAGATCGAAGATAGAAAGTGATAAGACCAAAGGTGATGGGCATGCAGAAAGGCCCTGGGGGCTTTGTCTAATTTCGACAAAAACGCTTATGCACGTTCTTCCTCCCACCCACATCGCTCCTCCTGGAGGCGGGAGGAGCCGACCAGGGCCCGTTCGGTGGCAAAGTAGTAGCTATTTGAACACACCATCGCCTACATCCATTTTGATGGGGAGAGGGGGAAACGTGTTTCCACATCCCTCCAACTGAGCTTGAGTTCCGCCCGTCCTATCCACCGTTCTTTCATTGACCTATTTTATCTCCGTTAATAAGTAACGTCGCAAATCGGGGATTTCTTAGCTCAGGCCAGTCCGCTTGGGTACACCTTTTGACGTTTCCAATAGGAAACGCTGCATTATCATCATGCTACCCCCTGTACGATTTCCCAAGTGGGGCGGGAAAAAAGGTGGTCCACCACTATCCGACGTTACCTCTGAAAAAGCCCCACGGTGGTGTTTCGCGACTCTACTTGAGAAGCAACTGGCAGCTCCGCGACTAATTCAGAGGGATTTGAGAACAAATTCTAACCCTCGGGGATGAAGCGTGGTTTGAAAAGTTTGTGCCCCCACTTGCGAGTGTTTGTGGCTGCACAGCAACGGCGCAGGTATTTCGGTGCCCCCCCTTCGGTTAAAATGGGAGGAGTACAATTGCTCAGAAAGAATGGAGAAGTTCAGGTTTTTTGCTGACGCCGCGCACCTGCCTGTTGACCCGCCGGCCGGCTAATCTGCCAAGCACCCAAGATTCCTTGCCTTCGAGCGCAGCCCAGCGAAGAAACCCCGCCTTCTCACGAGGGCGGAGGGGCTAATGACGGTAGCAAATGAGACTCTTCTGAAGAGGTTAGAATCCCAGGCAATATTCCACGTTTTGTCCTCTTCCCTGCGTTAATCATCTACGCCAGCAGCAGCAGCAGCAAGAGCGTCGAGCCTCGACAATCTGCTGCCACCCAGCAGAATAGCGGTTGAATAACACGCTCCGTTGCTAAAAGACACCACACACCCCTTGTTTTCATACTACCCATATGCTCACACTTCCTTAACACGTGCACTTTCGGGGTCTTCCCACTTGCAGCCCAACAGGCGCGGGAAAAGCATTTCGGGCTTCTGGTGCGAGTATCAGGCTGATGTGCTTTTTTTTTAAAGACTCAAGGTGCCCATTTAACTAAAAAAAAAACCCTAAGATGCTCGTCTCCAGAAATACAGTACTTGAACTGCATTAAGTTCATTACCATATGTGTATATATATATATTATTTGACCAATATCTGCACCACCGCTTCTAAATACATTTGGAGCCAAATTTGATCTATTAAGAAAAGGAGCATTTGTCAGTAAAAGGTGTTTTATCATCTTTTCCCCTCCGTATCCTGCTTGCCCTTGGATTAATGCAACGGATATTCCGAACATGTGGGTGACACGGCGACGGATTCTGGTTCTGGCCACCCCTCCCCCCCCTGCTTTTTAAAGCTGTCTTAAAAGGACCTGTGCTCTGCCATTGCCATCTGTCTTCCAAGTTGTTAAAACGCGCTTCCACTTTTCCGTTACGGCTGATCTATCCCTCATTCAGCGTGGACGCATTTTAGGCTGGCCCGTCCTTCTTACCCACAAAGAAAACTGTTTGCAAAAGTCTCTGGATCAATTACAAATGAACCCATTAAGTCTGGAAGGAAGAGAGCCCAACAATATTGTCATTGTTATTATTATTGATCCCTCTACAACCCGATTCATTCATCTGGCTCATCCGACTAAGCTTCTGGGTTTGCCAAAATCTAAGTCTGCAGCGACAGAAAATACAGCCAGCCCTTTACCTCCCCTTCCCCTCCCCTCCCCCCCGCAATTCGGATGTTCTCCAACGTTCCAAAATAATCGGATTTTTCCTTTCCTCCTCCCTCGCCCCCACCCCCTTCCTCCCCAGCAATGTACAAGTTGCTTATGGGATAGCGAAGCTGCAACTCAACTGCCTCCTCTTTTTGCTCCCTATCAAGGAGCAAATCTTTTGGCGCCATATTAATGACGTACTATATTATTTCCACTAGGCAGCGACCTTCGGCATTAAATTGCTCTCTAGCTGCTTCTGGAGAACTCCAAAGCTAAGCGACCAAAAAAAAAAACAAAAAAAAAAAACAACCCACCACCACCACCACACATCAAATATGGCTGTGCAAGGCAGCTCCTTCTGCGGCGACGGGCGGAAAGGCGAACGTAAGGAACTGCCTGTCCACAGTTACCTGCTGCTGTTGCCGCCGAGATGGTTGCCAGTCAGGTTGGAGTTTCTCTGCGCGAAGGGCTCCGTGCTGCCTCATGAGTTCAGACAAGCATTGGAGAATGGGAGCAGATTGTGTCTCTCTTCATACACACACACACTCACACCGAAGGGAAACGAGAGAGAGAGAGAGAGAGAGACTCTCACTCTGACTGACGTTTTTACTTGTTATGGAGGAAGGACTCTGTGAATCAAACTCATTTCTGGGTCACTGCTGCCACAGGGGGGAGCTACTTTAATCCCCTGCCAAAACTAGAGGGAGGGGTGGAGAAGAGAGACAGAAATAGGGTGGGGAGGAGGAGTGGAGGCAAGAAAAAGAGAGAGAGAGCGGGAGGGAGGGACTGGGAAACCATTGCACTTGGAAACCGTCTGCTTTTAACCCTTTGCAGCCCAACAAGCTGAAGATGTCATGCTCCATTAACACAAACAAGAGGCACTATCTCTTCTGGAGTTTTGCATCCAGGGACCTGCCTTTTGGGGAAAGAAAATGTATAGCGGAACGGGTTAAGGAAGAAGTTAAAATTTGCACATCCCAATATTGCCAGCTGTTTTAAAAGGAAGAAAAAAGGTTCTCTGGCTGACATATGGGAAGACTACTTTCTTTAAAAGGACACACCATTTGCCTCGCATTAAAAAAAATAGGATATTATTTTAGAGAATAAAAACACAAAAGTAGCCAGGGAGACATATGCAGACATACAATGTTCTATTTGGGATCTTCTTTGGATGTTTTAAATTGTTTGGGTGAGTGACAGTCCATGTGCCAGAAAAAGCGGTTTTGAACTAGGTGACAGGCATCCATAAATCAGCTTCCTTCCCCCAAAGTTATTTTATTATTGTTGATATGTGTGCTTCGATTTTTTTCATTTTTTAAAGTATATAGTAAGTCTCTTATTTTATTTTGGCACTGCCAACTCCAGAGTAACAATAGATTACCCATTACAACAGTCTTGTCTAATGGGACATTTTGCAGATTATGTTCCCATTTACCTGACTCATAACCATTAGACTGATCTCCATTAATATGAAGAAAAAACTAGAATGGAGCGATACAAGGTAATGAAACTCCTTGCGAGTTAAAATCTGGGTCTTAACGAGACCCCTCCTAGAATAGCGGTCCCCAACCTTTTTGGCACCAGGGACCGATTTGGTGGAAGACAATTTTTCCATGGACCAGAGATCCCACTCATGCACACTTTACAGTAGGGTTTGCTTGCTCACTGCTCACCTTTAGCTGTATGGCCTGGTTCCTAGCAGGCCACGAATCGGTGATAGTCCACGGCCCAGGGGTTGAGGACCAGTGGTGGGATTCAGCTGGTTCGCACCACTTTGGCAGAATTTTTTGTTGCCCAGGCCCAGAATGGACTTCCGGAAGCAGCATCCACATAGAAAACCGGTTGTTCACATATTTGAATCCCACCACTGTTGAGGACCCCTGTCCTAGAAGACACACCTACAAAGATACATAAAAGCCCTTTTCGTGCCCATATACTAATCAAGCTTTAGAATCACACTTACACTGCAGACATGGAACCTTTGTTTTATTCATTTCCTCTAGGACACAGGTGTCAAATTCGCCACAACCCGTGACGTTGCGACCCGTGACGCCACAACCCGTGACGCCACAACCCGTGCCACAACCCGTGACGTTGCAACCCGTGATATGTTGTGACATATCACGACTTTTTTGGGGGTGGGCACGGCCTTCGTATGATGCAACTGGCCTGCGGGCCAGCAGTTTGACACCCCTGCTCTAGGAGATCCATATAGAAAGATTTCTCCAAAGACTCAGAAAATTCAGAAAATTCATCGAATAGTTTAAATTTATGCTATAACTAAAGGAACATTGCACATGTCAGGAGTTGTCTTAATTTCCCACTATCTCAAAATTTTAAAAAGTTGTAAAGACTCACTTCTATCACCAGGTTTTAAACTATCAGTTTGATAGTATTAATAGTATTTTGATATTAATTGTACATTAATTTATATTTTAACTTACTGGATTCTGGATTCCATTCCATCTGACTTGATAGGAAAAAGTAAAAAAAAATCCTATGAAATAAGAAAATTTATTGTGTGAGAAAAAATAAAAATAAAAATCCATCTGCTAGCACTTGTTAACTAGATGTTTCAAGAGAATCATACCCAGAGAATAAAGGCAATAGTTTTCTCCTTCCATTGCTGCTCCTTCCAAAACAAATAATATCTGTTCTATCTCAGTATTATAAGAATAGTTTTGTACCTTATATTCAGACTAAGCAATTTTTGCATTATACAATTTTCCTGTCTAATTGCCTATACAACTGCAGTGCATCATGCACACAATCTTATACTTCACTGTAAACAAATTTGTCATTTAACCATTTACAATTGTTAGCAAATCATGGCAGAATGTGCTAGAATTTTTGCATACCTATCCTGCCAATCTCAATTTCCATGTATACTTTGAGCATTCACACAGGAATTTTGTACATCTGGATGCATATTCTTAAAAAAAAGAATTCAAGAATTTCAGTGTTGAATCCTATCATGTCAGTATTCTTGAGTTTTTAAACAATGAAAAAATTATCTTGCAACAAGGCATTTTATTACAATATGCATTAAGTTAGTTGTGACAAATTCACAATGTTCCTAGACAACGACTTGGACGTTATCTGTCAGATTGGCACACTATACTTTTACACATCTCTTTGGTGTGTAATCAGAATCAGATTACCCTCTTCAGTATTATTAGACAAGAAATTGACCATTCTGTTTTCAAAGATAAAAGGGAAGGGAAGATGAAGTTAAAGTATTTTAAAATTCCACAATTGAAGAATTCACTTTTTAAAAAAAAAATAAGTTGTGCACATTGGTGTACAAAATATTTTTATGATGTTTGAAAATACATGAATTAAGTGAGTAAGGAGAGGATTTGCAAGAATGAAGGATGATAAAATATCTACATAATCAAAAATGGATACTTATGCTTTAATTGTGATTCTCTAAATAGTCCTTTTTAAAAAAACCAAAATAAAATATGGGCTAATGACTGAAAATGATATAATTGTCAGGATGCCCATAAAGTTACTGTGATGTACCAAGCATATGCATAATATATATTCATCTGGGTGGCTATGAAGTTATCATAATGAACTGGGAATAGTGCACATTAAAAGGGCCATTTGAAATAGTTTTAGTCTTTGTATATCTCAGTTAACAGCTGAATCTTTCATACCATGGAAGTAAGAGTTATTGTCTCAGATATCTGTTGATCAAGCACCTGTATAAAAGCACAGGAATAGTTTGGTCAAAATGCTGGCACCCTATTCATGAGACATTTGCATTGCATTGCTACCATCTGTCAACACCCAATACCAGACACTTGCAGCCAACCAGAATTTCTTTACACCAATATTTCCAGCACTCCAAAATATGAATTGTAAATGAAGAACTGGCAGGACTAAGATATGTTTCCTTCATCAATGAATTTACATTTTTCCCCTGGGGAACGCAGGCATGTGTCTTTTGCAAATCATCTCTTGCCAAATTAAGGAAGAATGTTCCTCTAGATTTGACGTAATATAAACATGAAAAAAATAAGCTTGCCTGTAGGGGAAAGTGTGTGTGCTTGTGTGTATGTATTCATATTCCAGCACAGATAATATTCCCTAATTATAGGGTAATGCATCCCCTCTAGCAACACTTATACCCTTTCTGCCAAATATGTCACACTTTATTCAACAAAGTGATGCCAAAACAACTCCATTAATGAAGAAAGTTAGAAATAGCTTAAAACGTATAGGCCAGGGGTAGGCATGTACTTATGGGTTTCTACCAAAATAAATAAATAAATAGAAAGGTAATTTGTGGTGGCATTTGTCTTATATTTGGATTGTACTATACAATAGTTTCTTAAAAAATAATATTAAGATAAAAAACAAGTTTTCTTTCTTTCTGATTTGAAGACATTAATAGGGCACAAATGTAATAGTGAACATTGGCTGCATATTAGTATTGTGCATATATGAAAAGTATAGATGGCTAAATAAGCTTGTTCAATTTTTTAAAAAAAATTAGGGAAAGATTATTGTTGAACATATTCAATGGAATGCTATTAAGGAGGGGAAAACATAGGGGAAAGACAAGCAATCCCTTAGGGCAATAAATGCAGATTCTAGGTTATGACAGACAACCCCCCCCCTCAAAAAAAGCTACTTATGACCTGATTTTGCAGTTATGGCATCCACCCTCCCCTGCAGTCACATGATCACTTTTTAGGTGCTCAGCAACCGGCCCACATTTACAACAGTTTGCAGTGCTCTGTGGTCACATGATCATGATTTATAATTTTCTTTTCAGAAACCAGTATTTCCTTTTGGTTTTCAGAAGAAATAAACCCCATAGCAAACAATGGGTTAGCTTAATGACCACAATGTTCACTTTATGATCACCAAATTCCATTAACGGCCAGTGCATAAAAGGTCTAACATTGGATCCAGTTACATGATGAGCTACTTTACTACTGTCATGACTTACAGTATAATTGGCCAGTTCAGTTATGATCATAAATCAAGAACCAGCTGAAAGGGAACTCATGTTATTGTCCAGGGCTTTTTTTGTCATAGAACGCCCAGAACGGAGTTCCAGCACCTTTTTTGGATGGAACCTTGTAGGATAGGCAAGGCGGGTTGTATGAAGTGTGTGAGTTCCGGCACCTTTTCTTTTTACAAAAAAAGCACTGTTATTGTCACTGGAGGTATCTTCATTTCTGAGAAAAATTCAGGGTACTAAATTCAAGGTGATGATAGGTCCATAAAGCCTTAAACAACTTGGAACCTATATCTCAAGGGAGACCTCTCCTTGAATTAGCCTGTATATACACTTAAATTTGGGGGAGGGGGAATCAAACGTCTTCTGAACTTACATGAAAATAACTGGCAGTACTACAAATGGGGACAATCTCTTCATTAGAATGGCATGTGCCCTTTCTATTGAAATCTAAT